GTCGCAGCCGCGTGCGTCTGCCTGCATTCGCTTGCCCGGGAGCGGCGCTCACTGTTCTAGTCAGCCATACACTCTTTTATTTGCATTCCCACTTCTACCCAATTTTTCATTTTCCACACTTCTTCCAATGCTTAGCATTCTGCAGTCATTGTGCACACTCAGTCTTTACTGGGCTGCATTTGGGCTCCCCTCCCCCCACTTAGTGTTTATCTTTGAATATTTTTGTAGCTCTGCAAATTTAAAGTCCCCCCAGATATGCTGACACTTCCCTTCTCAAGTGTGAGTGGTGTTGTTTTGGCAACATAAAGACCGGCACTCAGATCTAAACGTCATAGGTAGAAGGAATAAAATAGCAAAAGACTCATTGGGAAGATGGAATCCATTCCATTCCCAAACCTCCTGATAAATATCTGAACATAACATAAAGATACCTTATAATAGTTTCTTTTAAAAAAATCCAGCAACCGCTCTTCCTAAGTTATTAAAATCACAAACTGAAGTTGTTATTATTGCCACTTGAGCAGAATGCCTTCACTGCAGGTAGTAATATCAGGGAGATTCAGTCATGAACCTAACATGTTGTCTGTCTGTCTGTCTTTCTTACTTTCTTGTTTATTTATTTTTGGGACTTCTATGCCGCCCCATTCGCCGAAGCCTCGAGGCGGCTCACAACCATAAATAAACTTCAATAGAATAATATAAATTAACAATATAAATTAAGTCGCCCTGGCCAAAGAATAAAATGAATAAATAATATTAATTATAATAAAATTTGAATAAAAAGGTCTTCGCCGGACGTCGAAAAACAAATAACGATGGCGCCAGGTGGACCTTTCTGGGAAGCGCATTCCATAGATTGGGCGCCACCGCAGAGAAAGCCCTCCTCCGAGTACTCACCCTCCTAATTTCCTTCACGGAGGGTTCCCGGAGAAGGGCCTCTCCCGCAGATCTCAAGAGGCGGGTGGGCATATATGGACGTAAGCGCTCCTTCAGGTAACCAGGACCCAAGCCGTTTAGGGCTTTATAGGTCATCACCAACACCTTGAATTGGGCCTGGACTTCAATGGGAAGCCAGTGAAGCTGACGGAGGACTGGAGCCATGTGAACATAACACCCAGTCCCCGTCAGCAGCCTGGCAGCTCTATTTTGAACCAACTGAAGTATCCGGACCGTCTTCAAGGGCAGCCCCACATAGAGCGCATTACAGAAGTCAAGGCAGGAAGTCACCAACGCGTGTGTCACTGCCGCCAGGCAGTCGTACTCCAGGTAGGGATGCAGGTGATGGATCAGCCGAAGCTGAAAGAAAGCTCTCCTCACCACCGCTGTCACCTGAGCTTCCAGTGAAAGCTCTGGGTTAAGGAGCACTCCCAAGCTGCGAACCTTGTCCCTAAGAGGGAGTGCAACCCCATTCAGGACTAGGTTCAATTCACCCTCCCCGAAGCCCGATCCACCAACCAACAGGACCTCCGTCTTGTCTGGACTGAGCTTCAGTTTATTGGCCCTCATCCAGCCCATTACCTCGGTCAGGCACAGGTTCAGCACAGCCACTGCCTCACCTGGATTGGTGGAGAACGAGAGGCAGAGCTGGGTATCATCAGCGTACTGATGATTCCGCAGTCCGCACCTCCTGATGACCTCTCCCAGCGGTTTCATGTAGACGTTAAACAGCAAAGGGGACAAAATGGATCCCTGCGGTACTCCATGGCATAGCTGCCATGGTGCAGAGCCATAGTCCCCCAGCACCACCTTCTGGAATCGGCCATTGAGATAGGAGCGGAACCACTGCAAAGCAGTACCTCTGACCCCCAATCCCGCTAGCCTATCCAGAAGGATACCAAGGTTGATGGTATCGAAAGCCGCTGAGAGGTCCAGAAGAACCAACAGGGACGCACTTCCCCTGTCCTCCTCCCTGCACAGGTCATTGTACAGGGCGACCAAGGCAGATTCAGTACCGTACCCGGGTCTGAAGCCGGACTGAAATGGGTTCAGATAATCAGTTTCATCCAAGAGTGCTTGGAGTTGTCCCGCCACCACCCGCTCCAACACCTTGCCCAGAAACGGGATGTTGGCCACTGGTCTATAATTAGTGGCCATCTCTGGATCCAGTGATGCTTTCTTCAGGACCGGTCGGACTACCGCCTCCTTTAAAGGGGCAGGTACCTGTCCCTCCCTCAGAGAAGAATTAGCCACTTCGAAGATCCAGATCCCAATCCCGTGCTTGGCGTTGTTTATTAACCAAGATGGGCAAGGGTCCAATAGGCAAGTGATGGAACGTACTCATCCAAGCACCTTGTCCACATCATCAGGCTGCAATAACTGAAATTCATCCATTAATTTTGGACCAGACGGTAACATTGGTATCTCCCCAGAAGCCTCTGAATCACCAGTAGAGTCTAGCTCGTGACGAATCTGAGCGATTTTCTCCCTGAAATGCTTGGCAAAGTCGTCACAGCAGGCCTTCGAGGGTGGAACCAGATCTTTCTTAGGGCCAGGGCGGACCAGGCCTTGTACCACTCGAAAAAGCTCCGCCGGACGGCATTTTGAGGAGGCAATGGAAACAGAGAAGAATTTCTTTTTCGCCGCCCTCACCGCCACAGCATAGGCCCGATAATGGGCTCTTAAGTGTGTTCGGTCAGATTCATCCCGTGATCTCCTCCACCTAAGCTCTAGCCATCTCCCAGTCTGCTTCATCACCCGCAATTCAGATGTATACCAAGGGGAAGAGTGGGCTCTGCCTGGCGGGAGAGGACGCTTAGGAGCGATCATGTCAACAGCCCTAGTCATCTCCCCATTCCATAGTTCGACCAGAGCCTCGACAGGAGCACCAGTCTTGTCAGCCGGAAACTCCCCCAGGGACTTCAGGAATCCATTCGGATCCATCTGGCTCCGGGGGCAGACCCACACAATCGGGTCCGCACCCTTACAGAGGGAGAGGCCGCTCTCGAGCACAAACCTCACGAGGAAGTGATCTGACCATGACAGGGGTGTCAGACATAAATTCCTAACCCTCAGACCACCCTCTTCCTGCCCCGTCGAGAAAACCAGGTCCAGAGTGTGTCCACGTTCATGGGTCGGGCCTGTGACATGTTGAGACAGCCCCATGGCCGTCATGGAGACCATGAAGTCCTGAGCTGCCCCAGTCAGACCAGTCTCGGCATGGAGATTGAAGTCCCCCAGGACCAACATCCTGGGGGTCCTCAACACCAGGTCCAAGACGATCTCTGTCAGCTCAGGCAGGGAGACTGTTGGGCAGAAGGGTGCACGGTACACCAACAGAATCCCCAATCTGTCTCGATCACCCAACACCAAGTAGAGGCACTCCAGCCCTGGTCTCAAAGGGACTGGAAGTCCCGTGAGGGAGATGGAGGCTTGGTAAACCAAAGCGACCCCCACTCCCCTCCCCTCCAGGCGTGGACGGTGCTGAACCAGATACCCGGGCGGGCACATATGAGAGAGGGCGACATCCCCCCCTCCCACCCAGGTCTCTGTTATGCAAGCCAGGTCGGCCTCCTCATCCACAATCAAGTCATGGATGAGGGAAGATTTATTGTGGACTGACCTGGCATTAAGCAGCAGCACTGTCAGGCCCGAGGGGCGGCTGACAGGACTACCTGGAACCCTCTGGCTGTGGGCAGAACCAGAAGGAGGGATGGGTGTCAACCATCTGTACCTCCTTCTTCTACACGGACACGTTAAGCCCCCACCGCTGTAACGTCCATAGCCCATGACAGCACCCACACGCTCCCCAGGAAACTCAACCGGCGACATGGCCAGGGACGACTCCATAAAAACAAATTAAAATACAATAAAACTTTAAAACAGTAAAAAACTCCCCATCTACCCCCCCCCAATACAAAATTCCACCCACCGACCTAGTCCCCTGCCAGCCCAGCCCCGCACGGCCACGAACGGCAGTGACCGCCCTTTGGCCGTTGCCCTTCAGCCGCTGGCCAGAGGCCGCCGGCCCCAGGCCGTGTCCAGTGGGTTAAGCCGGTGCCCGCCCGCGAGCCCCGCCCCAATCCGGCGTTGCTCTCACCAATGCCGGTGGGAGGAGCAGAGAGGGGCGTGGAAACCCGCCCGGCGGCAAGATGGAGGCGCCCTCCTCTGCACCGTCAATGGTGGCCCTGGCGTGATCCTGGTGTGGCCCTGGCATCCTCCGTCCCCGGGGTGGCCCAGCGGTGGCCGCGGGAGCGGCATCAGCTGGCCCCCAGCTCGGCGGTGCGCCTCAGGTCCGGCAGCAGCGGCAGCGTGGCGCAGCAGGTGTTCCGGGGAGGGAGGGGGAGGGAGCTCCAATCCAGGGAACTCCATATGTACGGTGTTTTTGTGTATAATAAAACTCCCATTTGTATTAAATTACAGAGCCCGCTAAAGAGACAATAGATCCTACGGAAAGCACAAATAGGAATTATAAATTCCGCCCTTCCTTTTTTTCTTGGCCATCCGGCCCACAAAAGGGTTCTCAGTGAACTGAAAACTTGTACATTGGTTTTACACTGCCATTGACTCAAGTGATCCTTGTCTCTGGCACTGTATTTTGTGCCTTGGTTTATAAGACAGCCTCATACCAGCACCAAGCAAGTCAAAACTTTCTCATCCATGTCAGAGTCTCCACAGACTTTCCCTTGATCATGTGAATGAGTCCACAAATGAAGACAAGTTGATCAGGAAAGGGATAAGGCAAGACCAAAACACAGAAGATGCACAGCACGGTCAGTACTATGCATGTTTACTTTGAAGCCAGCTCCACAGGGTTCAGAGGAGATTGCCCTGGAAAGTGAGGAAAAGGCCACAGCATAGCAGTGACAGGCTGGAACATCTCTGCGCTGTTATTTAGAAAAAAACCTGACTTTTAGCCTCATGGGGAGAAAATCATCCTAGGCAGCAACTTATACTTTCATTCACATAAAGCAGGAAGGTAAGAACTCTGGCAAGTACAACTGAATGCGGCATGCCCTACAGGGCACCCGAAGAAGAGGAGGCAGGGATACAGAGTCATCATGGGCTAATTAATGCTGTGTCACCGTGGAATATGCAGCCACCTCCAGCTGTGAGTAATTCTGGCACAGAGGAAATGCAAATCTTTGCTTCTATTTTTAGACACTTGGGTGAGCTTAACTGAGAAACTTCTTTCCCCAGAAGTATAAGGAGTAGCGCCTTACCTCCTCCAGCCTCTCAATATTGGCTCTGAGGCAAGGAACGCAGGACCGGAGCTCACCGTTCTCATCATCCAGCTGTTGTAACCTGCAGCTCACACAAAAACAAATGCACACTCAGGGAAACGTACTGTTAGAAATACCGGTAGGACTGTGAATATTTTGGACTATAGTCTGTCATTAGGGACACAATGAAATCTGGAAAAAGCTTTCATCCTTGTAACCAACAGAAGAACCTTTTCACAGCCATTCTGAGTGTCTTTTCCATTTCCCTGTAAACACTTTTCCATTTCCATTTCCCTGCGCGCACATATCAAAGTCACAGGAGAGCAAACAACCTCTCTCAAAAGCTTCCAAGACCCAGGGCTAGATTAGGGCTGGGCCACGCATTTTTTAAGGTTCCCACCACCCAGCTGCTACTGCTGAATGTGCTGCAAAATGGTGGCTTGTTGCTGAAATACAGCAAGTGCAACAAGTGATGGCTAATTTCATTTTTCTTCAAGCAAAACTGCATTTCCAAAAGCATCCTGGGAGTGCCATTTTGCTTGAAAGCAAGACAGCGCCTTTGGCAGAGCAAGTGTAGCTCAGAGTGGGGTCCAAGTGAATTATGTGGCTGCCCACGCATGCCCTAAACCATTAGCTGAAATCAACGGACTCAGTGATTTATCTGTTCAGGTTACTTGCTGCTGACCTCCCAAACCCACAGAACAGAAATGCAAGAACAAGGCTGCAGAAATCTCAGGAACTGAGGCCCACCAAAAGCCAAAGGCTCTCCTTTCAGTGGAGAAAAGTATGTTTGAAGCTAGCTCTTATGAAGTGAATACTGGTGACCTGGCAACTTAACGTTTTCCAGCCTGGATTTAAACCAACAGTGCACATAAAATGTCCAAGTATAAACAAGACAGAGAAGGCATGGTGCTAAAGCTATGTCGCCATATTTTGGTTTAAATTCTAGTCGTCTTGACAGCTGTGGAAAGAAAGCGTGTGCACCAAGTGGATGACAGCTGTACCATATCAGTCACAGGACAAGGAGTGCTCCATCCTGTCTCTGACACCCATGAGCCAGGTAGGCCAAGGAAGCTCTCTAGTGTTTTTACTTCTTCTGAAAACAAACATTCCATTTTTTAGGATGATATCTGCAAAACAAGCAAATTCTTGTTGCAATATCTCTCTCTGCAGCACCACACAAGACAGAATTCTAATCCAGACTGTCTCTCCCCACACAACCACCTGACTGCCAACTTATGACTGAAATAAAACTACAGCAGGCTGAGTGAAATGCTGAGCACGATGCTCCTCCTGCAGAAATGCCTGAAGCCCTGCACAATGTAAGCACGTGTTGTTTTGTGAACAGGGGCAGGTCCTGACAGAGGCTTGAGATAGGACAGAAGCTTGGGTTAGAACCGTAATCCAAGCTGCTTCACCAAAATGCAGGGCCAGTTTGGTCTTCCTCGCCTTTCCTATGCACCAATTCCTTTTCGGCCATTGCACACAAACACTACCCTGAATTTTCTATTCAGCACTAGGGCTGCAAACATGGTCTTGCTGTTCAGCAGGAAGCAACATCCAACCCAGACTTTCTACATGATGTGCGTGAATTCCTCAGTATGTGTTTCTCTCATTTATATTACACCTTTGTGCAGAGCTACCAAAACCAAAACCAAACCAACCCTTAGATGTAGACTTAACAAACAAACGTGAAACGAACTCATTGGGTCAGGAATCTTCTCTGCTTATGTGACTCTACAAAGCATCATCTAAATTAATGGTGCAACAACACAACATCATGATAACACACCACAGGAAATGCTCTGCTACATCCGACCAGTGGTCCATTTACTCCAACAAAGCATTCCCCACAGTGGTTAACTAAGTGGTCTAGGAGACCCCTAAGCAGGACATGAAGGAAATAAGCCTCTCCCATTACTGTTTTGGAAGCATTTATAATCTTGGAACCCTCCAGAGGTTCCATTGAGGTAGTCACCATCAACACAGCTATGAATTTATCTCATTGCTTTTTAAAGCTGTCTGAGCTGGTAGCCACACCACATCTTGTAGCAGTGAGTTCTGTAACTTAAACATATGTAGTGTGAAGAAGTGCTTCCTCCATCTTTCCTTCTTCACATTTCATTGGGTGGCCTCTCAGTTGCAGCCACACTCCTCATTTTATTCAGCAACACCTACAAGAACTTGCCCAACTTACCGGGCTTGTAGGTTTTCAATCTCAATGCTCTTCTCCCGTTCCGTCTTGCTAAGCAGCTCCCGCTGTCTTCGGACTTCTTCCACCAGGACCTCATCTGATCTCAGTTCTTGCTCTTTCAGCTGCTCCTCCAAGGCATTGGCTCTGTGCACAGATGGAAAAATGGGTGGCAAATTAACTCTAGATGACACGAAGCAAGGTGTTTCCCCAGAGTGCAGCTATTTCGGTGGCAAAGGTGCAAAGCTGTTTGCATGTGAACAAAAGACAATGATGTCAGGGAGACTGTTTTTCATTCAGGATAACTCACCCCACTCAAGTTCAAATTACCAGATAAAAGTATAAGGCCCTTAATAAAATTGACATGACATGCCCCTCTTACCCCACCTAAAAAGCAGAGGCATCACCCTGCCGACAAAAATGCGTATAGTCAAGGCCATGGTTTTCCCAGTTGCAATGCATGGCTGTGAAAGCTGGACCATAAGGAAGACTGAGCGCCGAAGGATTGAGGCCTTTGAATTGTGGTGCTGGAGGAGACTCCTGCGAGTCAGTCTTAGAGGAGATCAATCTGTCCAACTTTAGAAGGACAGATACCAAAGTTGAAGCCCAAATATTTTGGCCAGCTAATGAGAAGGAAGGACTCACTGGAGAAGAGCCTAATGCTGGGAACAATTGAGGGCAAAAGAAGAAGGGGGCGGCAGAGGACGAGGTGGCTGGATGGAGTCACTGAAGCAGCTGGCGTGAGCTTAAGTGGACTCCGGGGGACGGTGGAGGACAGGAAGGCCTGGAGGAATGTTGCCCATGGGGTCACGATGGGTCAGACACAACTTTGCAACTAACATATAACATACCCCTCTCACTCCATCTTTTGCCAATTCAGCCCCTGGTAAGTAATTTCCAGTGCCTCACTTTTTCTATACAGATGCATTTTCTGCACGAAAATATATTCTCCATCTATGGTGGGCCATATTCAACAAAGTTACAGAAACACTCTACAAGTAAATTTCTCTGTTCCATTTTCTTACCCTCTTTATGGTGCCCCAAAGCACCCTGGAAAAGACTGGAGCTGGCCCTTACCTGGTAATATGAATATGAATGGGGAAACATAGCCTCTATTATAGAGTTTTCTGTACTCTTGATTCCTCCTAAGTATGACTACTGTTTAAGGGAAATTCCCAAGACACTTTAGTGCTCAAAGCATTAAATTCCCATCATGCATATGAAATTAACTTGAGACATAATCCACCGGAAAGCCCAGTCAAGCAAAGGGAGTGTGTGATGAAAAGAAAAATTCCTGCCCATGGAAAGCTAGGCTGTAAAGGAGAAGGGTTCCAGCCTGGCATTCCTAATGTGCAAGCTTTCTATATTAGCATGCAAGCCTGTCAGCAGCACAGCACAACTGAGCCACAGGTTAGTTTTGAACATACGGATGGCTCTTAGAAGCATATGCCTGTCATTAAGCCAGCCTCCTGCCCTGCCCTTTACCTGTGTACCAACTGAAGGTTTTCCTGCTTTAATCGGCTGTGCTGTTCCCCATTTGCAGCTGTGTCCTTTTCTAGCTCTGTCACCCTTTTCTCAAGGAAGATCACCTGCAGAAAGAAAGGCAAGATTTAAACATCAAGAGTGTCATCCTTGTTCTTCTACCTGTAAGGTATCTATAGTCCATCTGCTGCCAGAATTTAATATTACTTTCACTCTTTTTTAAAAAGTAAAACATAAGCAACTCCATTCCATCACGTTTCCCATTTCCTCCAAATGTCACAGCCCTTTGCTTAACATTAAATATCATTCTTTGTTCCTTTCCCAATTAAAACCCAATCCTCCTAAGAGATTTTAAAATAGGTTGCTCCTTCTTGGTAATCCATTTACATCAATGCCCAGGATTGGTGCTGTTTTATTTTAAAAAACCTTTGGACACTCATAGATCAGCATTATGATTTGCTGTCCCCCCAGCCCCATTTGCAGTGGTCAAAGTTGTGTGGCAGGAAAATGCAGGTTAAAATGAGCCATCTAGAAAACAGTTACGTTTCACTAGGATCTCATGAGTGGGCAGAGAAGCACTTGATCTGGGGACTGCCATTGTCAGCAACAGCCTTCTGTTCTGTCAAGTGCATGGCTCTATCCTGAATGGGACTGGAACTCAAGGGAAACTGAGATGGGGGAAGGAAAAGAAAGATTTTAACACTTGCAACAACAAACAAGTGCCTCTCTCGTGCCTTCTTTCAAGGATCCCATCATGTAGCAGGTTGCGGGTACAGCAGGGGATGAAACTTGAGTCCTGCATTTTGGAAGTTATGACAACAGAGTACTTGAGGTACCCTTCCCTTCCTAAGCTGCAGCTTTGGTTTGTCAGGTTGTCCACTCTTGCACGCTTGCTGCAATAACAGGAGATGAAACTCAAGAAAACAGCAGATTCCGTTCATGGGCAAAAATGAAGATGATCCATCCCAAGAGAATTCTTGAACTGACTGACAGGCCCTTTGGCTTTCACAAGGTGCTTCCAGATGAGAGTCCTGGCAGTGGGAAAATATGGGAGGGAGGGCTACAGTGGAAGATGGTGTTATTCAAGGCATCCCTGTGGGAATTCCATGAATGAGGAAAGGCTGCTGCACAATAAAGGCCTCCTCTCCAAGCAACTAAGTCAAAGGCAGCGGGATCAAAAGGAGCCTTGAACAGCGCAGCTGAGTGGCCTTTCAACAGTGTAAATGATCCGATGCCTGGAAAGCCAGCTAGGCACAGCGATTCTAGGCCAAAAGACCCAGCTCTACAGTCTGCTCAGCTACGATGCTCACTGGCTGATGCTTGGCCATGTCCCCCCGTCTCTCTTTTTTCACAGGGACACATTCCCCCTGCCTCCATTCTCCCTCACAGGCTGCTGTGAGCATAAAATGGGTAGGGACAGAGAAAGTAAGGTTGCTTACCCGTAACCAACATTCTTCCAGTGGTAATCTGTGTATTCACACATATGGGCTCTGCCCCTGTCTGGGACTTGTTGTGGAATAGAGATTCCCTAGTTAGGCATTTTGGTGGCAGTCCTGTCCCCTTCTCTTAAGTCCCATTTGGCTGAGGTGGTCAATAGCCTGTCATCCAGGTAGGGGTACATTTTAACACCTTGAACTCAAAAGTGTATACAGACTACAGCCATACATTTTGTGAACACTCTCTGGGCAATGGCCAATCCAAAAGGGAGCACGCAGAATTCAAAACTTTCCATCCTGACACAGAAACAAAGTGTCTATAGTCCGGATGGAAAGAGACGCGAAAATACACATCTTTTAAATTTATTGAGGCGAACCAGTCCCCTTTCCTTAGTATGGGTAGTATAGTTTGCAGAGAAATCATGCAGAACTTCTTATGTGCAATGTCTCCACAATCTAAGAAAGGACAGAAGCCACTGTCTTTTTAGGGACGGTAAAATGCCAGGAGTAAAATTCCTTCTGATAGGATGGTGGGTCAAGTCAAGTCACTCCCTTTGCTTGAAGCGTAGCTACCTCCTCTACTAAGGTGGCTGACGGGGAGGTAGCCTGCCCTGCTTCTACTGGTAGAAGAGATTCCCATTCAATGCAATACCCAAAGTCGATGTTGGAGCGTACCCTTCCGTCTGACGTTCTGTCTTCCCACTGGGGAAGTATTTTGCTAAGTGGCCCTCAAGCATGTTGTTCCTGATGGCAAGGGACTGGTTCAAGATGGTTGTCAGCAACGCTGTCTCTTGGCATGCAGCCGCTTTTTGAAGGACTGCTCGATGTGAGGAGGAGCATCTCAACACCGCTGGGTGGGTGGTCGCCTTGGGTGAGCCAAATATGGCTGGCTCCTTCTAAGGTAAGAGGATGGGCCTCATGGCCATTTCCTTGTTCTGGGCACCAGGGGAGTGAAGCCCATCTTGCATGCCGTTGCCCTTGTTTTTTGAATGCTGTCCGATTACTTGTCCGTTTGGGCTTTAAAGAGACCTTTGCCATCAAACAGCATCTCTTCGATGCAAACCTGTGTGCCCTGTGGGAGAGTGGACACTCTGAGCCAAGTGTGGCGGTGGACTGCCAGAGCACCAACCAGTGGTCTCTAAGGGCAGTCCATGTGGTGCCACATGGTGTTTGTTTATTGCTTGGACAGTCTCAAAGCTTCAAAAAGTTCCTGTTGTTGTTCAGGGAGACACTGTGCTAGAACCCCCATCTTTTACCACAGGAACACCTGGTATTACACTAGCATAGCTTCATAGTTCAAAATGCGCAGACTGAGCCCCATATATTCCGCGGGCCATAGAGTCTAACCGTGTCCTTCTCTGTTCAAACGTTCTTGTTGAGAGTGTCCTTGGGTTGACTCCACAACCAGTGCGTTGTGGTGAGGGTGACGCAGGAGGAAGGGGATGTCCCCTCCCAGACTCGGTATGGACTTTCTAAGCACTTCAGTGTGGCCATTGTTGATCTGGTGCCTTCCATGAGTCCTTTGAGAAGGGCTGAAAAAAACAGAACAGTGACCAGAGCAGAGTGCTCTGTCTGGACAATGTCATATATGAGCTTGATTGGTGGTTCAGTCAGCTGTTGGGTCTCCAACCTGAGGTATGTCACCATCCAGAGGACATGCTTGAAGAATCTACCTAAGTCTTCAGAGGGTGACCACAGACCCTGTGTTATCACACCCTCCAGTAATGTGGACACCAGTTCTTTGAACTGTGATTTGTGGTCTGCTGGGACAGAAGAGGAGGAGAGGTGAATGGACAGCAAGGGGGGTGCCCGTGGTGGTGGAGCTGGGTGCGCTGGCAGCTGTTGGGCAGCAGAGATCATGTTGGCATTGAAACGGACAAGGAAGTGGGCCACAAACCACCTTGCAGGAAGGAGGGAGAGTTGCAGTATTGCTATTGCATGTCCACTGCCCTCTGTTCCCAGAAGCACCGTTCATATGGAGCCGTTGGTGGCAATCAGTGGCTCTCTTTCCCAAGCTGGCATGGGGGTTGCACTGGATCAATGGCTTGAGCTGGCAAGACGAACTGGAAAGCTGGTCCAGGAAGTGGTTCTCACAGCAGCTGGGGAGAGCATCGCAGTTCCCACATCAGATGGGAAGAGCACTGCAGAGTCAATGGGGTTGTATCCTTTATCTCACCATCTGAAGAGAAGCAAGTAACATGGTCTGGTTGAAGTATCAATCCGGAGGATTGGTGGAACTGGTGGGACTGACTGCACCCTGGAGTGGACTCATGGTTGGTCTGGTGTGGAAGAAAGGCAACAAGCCTTCTTCTTAGGCTTTCCAGTGGAGTTTTTTTCCCGCAATTTTTTATCCTCCATGGGTCACCATTTTGGGGCCATGTTTGAGCCTCTTTTGGGACTGTTTTTCAGTGTGCTCAGTTGGTGATGCCCCAGCAGCTGCTGAAGGTGGGTGAGCACTTGGAACTGCCTGTGATGTAGAAGGTCCTGGTATGACTGTATCGGTCACCTGTAAGATTCTGGTCCACATTTTGTGACACAGATGGCTCACTTGATTCTTGCCTGTCTGGTCATAGCTTGACAGTGCAGGGAAAAGTCTACCATGTGGTCTTCCCCAAGGCAGAAGAGACAAAGCAAATGCCTATCAGTTGAAGGAACCTTAGTGCCACAGTTATACTCTTTCAAAACGCAGCCATGAATGTCACTGGTGAGTAGAATAAAGATGGAGGGGGGGGGTTGGAGTGACAGTTGAGAGTAGTTAATGGTAAGAGTAAGCTGTGAGAAAAAATGGATAGATGAGGTTTTAAAAAAAAATATAGAAGATGTGATAGCAGAGGTTTAGAAATGGTGAAAAGTGAGAAAAAGATAGTTTGTGAGGAAAAGCTGAGGTAAAAGGAAGGTTCTATTTTGTAAGGAAACCTAGGGTAAGAATAAATCTGAGGCAACCAAGGTGGTGCTCAAAAACAAACTGGAGAAAATGGCGGGAGCCCCACCTTTATATTGTATCTGGGAGGAGGGGTAGGACTCCCACCAAAACTTCTAGCTAGGGAATCTCTCTTTATCCGCCAACAGGGCCTGTGCAGGCACAGAGTCCATCTGTGTGATGCACAGAGACCACGAAGAAGAACCATAGAAATGGCACTCGGCATTTTGCAGGAAGGGGAGGATGAAGCTGCAGTAATATTAAGCAACAGAATGTTCTCTGGAAGAAAGCACCAACCAACCCCCATACTCAAATTATATTCTACAGAACAGTACTCATGCGCTATAAGGGAGAAAACAACATGGCGCTATTCTTTTCCCTGGTCACCCCTTCCAAGCAGGCTGTCCCTGGGATGGAAAGACTGACCATCCCCCTGCATCAGCTGCATTCTGGCCATTTCACCAAAACTGATGCAGAGATGCAGCACAGTCACCCACCATTCCTGGAGGAAACTGCCCATTGCAGCTTTGGACGACGGCTGCAGGGGCTTCTCTCAGCTCGGAAGCCAATTAAGTCTGTTTAATCTCCTCTCCATGTGCAATCACACCTGCTACAGGGAGACTGTAAAAGTATTTTCCCCACAAAGCAGCTGTCTTTTGCCCCACTGTGGAATCCTCTCCTGATTTTTTTTTTTTGGGGGGGGGGAGGCTGGAGCAGTCTCTCTCAGAATCACAGAGCAACACATGCCATAATGAATCTTTCCTGGGGTGAAGAAGTTGGCCCTAGTTGTAAATTTGTGAGTGGGGGGGGGGAGCATCACTCATTTAGCATTCACTTAGGGCCTGACTACACATAATGTTAGCGATATGCTGAAAGAAGCAGGTTCCACCTGGATGCTTTTTGGCAGGCCTGGTGGGGGCGGGGGGGGGGGGGGGGGGGGGGGGGGGAGAGAGAGAGGGACACAGCAAGCCAACCTGGGGGCCCTGCCATGCATTGGAGCAGCAGAATTTTAAGTAAAAACTGCCAATGCTCTTTACACATTCTGGGTCGGGATAGGAAGACAGCTGTCCAAAATGAAATAAAAAATGTATGTGTGAGAATATGAATAGCCAAGTTCATTGAGTTTGTTCAATACATGGCTGATTTGGTCCTTAGATTATCTCCCTCCCCTAAAGACACACAAACCTTCTCAGTAATGTCCTCCTCCAGACACTCAGAGTTGTTCCGGAAAGGCTCTTCCATGCTGTCCACTGTGAGGCTTCCTGTTTGATGCAGGTACCTGTAACCAATGTGGACCAAACCAAGCCAAAGCAAGATCACCATTAGAGAACACATTTCAGCGGAGAAAAGCTCATTACCAGGTGGGCAGAAATAGTTCTGCATCACTCATCTTCACTCCTGTGGGCAATCCCACAATAGCACAATTCAGAAGCCCATTTTGATGAAAGAATAGGGTATCTTTAAAACACACACACTTCAGTTGCACAGCTTGAGTCTTTCTTCAATGCACCACTGTCTGTTCGTGGCCATCGAAGCTGGGCGAGCAACCTGGCACTGTGTTAGAGTGGCAGAGTGCCTAATGCCAGACATTCAAGTCTATCAGCTATTTCCTTTGCTCTTTGGAATATGGATTGATAAAAGAACCGACTTTCTGCCTTTAATTTCCTCTTGATCTGCATGGCGGCACGATAAAACCTGAACTCCCGAGTAATAAAGGGCAAAATGGAGGAGCAGCAGCAGCAGCAAGAAAAAAACAGGCTGGGAGGGATAGATCTCAAACTGATGAAAGGTCTTCTGACAGGAAGTTTTTTGCTATTTCAACATTTCTCTCTGCATGCCCATCGTGGTTCAAAGGCCATTATCTCAGTGCCACGCCATTCAGACTCGACTTTCACTAGGTGTTAATCAGCATTGCTTTGACTGCAAAATATCCAATATTCCAGCCAAAGGAAAATAACAAGTGCAAAGTTAGGCACAAACTTTCATCCACGTGCAAGAATTTCAATATTAGACTATAAATACTCGACAGAGAACAAAAGACAGATGTCAGGCTTCTTCTCCAAGATAGGACCTGCCAGATGTGCTTGACTGCAATTCCCATCAACTCCCAGCAGCATGGCATTTGTTTATATTTTTATTTATTTATATTGCGATTTATATCCTGCCTTTTTCCTACAGAGGGCTCAAGGCAGCTTACATCATCTCTCCTCCTCCATCTTATCCCCACAACAACAACCCTGTGAGGTAGGTTGGGCTGTGAGATGGTGGGAGCTGTCGTCATACGCATCTGGAGGGCAGGATGGGTGAAGTGGGTAAAACAGTTACATTGCTGACCACCCAAAGGAAGGCAAAGATATAAAGCCACTTTTATTTTTTAAAGCTTTTCCTGAGCGACCTGCCAGTTTTATGGTATAAAACATGGTTTTAATCTTTTACTCCTTTCTATTTTGATTCTTTTCTTCTTTCCTACTCACTACTTGAAAAATATTTTGAAATACACAACGGTTTGGTACATTTTATAAATCTGTCCATCCATCTGTCCCTTGGCTTCTTCCCATACCATCAAAGCTTTGTAACGAAAGATGAACTGGGAATACCATCACGTTAAGGAACTGCCCTCCTGCCCAAAAGCACCTGCAAGGGTTTGCCTGCTAGAGATGAAATTTCATGTGCTCAGGTATTCAAAGGGCCCGCAGTGCAGCGCTACCTTCTCCCCACGCACGGCTCATCACCGTTTCACGTAGGGCTCAGGCTGCAGCACTGGCTCTCCTGGCAAGAGCAGTGATGTCGGCCCACTTTAAGAGCAAGAGCCCTGGATCGCCTTCCAGTGCTGGCACACTGCTGGGTGCGTGAGTGACAACACACTCGTGGTGTGTGTGAGGAAAGCAGCTGCTAACATGTTGTGGTATTATACACACCTCTCACACACACTCTTTTTCAGCATGCAAATCCTTTGCTGAGGAAACTGCCCAGGCTGCTTACTGGTACCAGGTTGGGTGTAAGCTTCTGCTACTGGTGCATGAAGCCCTACGCACCTTGGGGCCAGGATATTTGAAAGAAGACCTGCTCCCTTATCAACCTGATGGGTCTGTGAGGTCATCTGCTGGAATGCTCTTGGTGGTTCTATGTGGACCTCCAGCCCAACTGGAGTCCCATGGAAGAGTCTGCAGTGGGAGGGCTCCCTTTCTGTGGAACTCCCTGCCTGTCAAGAGTGAGGAAGAGGGCTGCTTCGGGCACTCATTTTCAAGGACTGCTGGCTGGACTTCAGAGGAATCAGAAACAGAATGTGAAGCAGAACCAGGAGGGGGGGTGGGATGTGGGCCATGCCAAGACACTGCATTGCAGGAGGCAGAGATGCTTCTTTCAAGGCAAACTCCCCCAGGTGGGCAGGCAGTCTCTGGGAATGACTGAGATGTACAGCTGGTGGGAGGGGAATTGGAGTAGAGGAGTTTCTCAGACTTAGGCGAGGCGATACTGGTTCCTGACCCCATGATGTGTAGCCAGCAGAGGAGGTTGCAGGGAGAGCAGGTGCATTCACTTTCCAAAGGCCCCTGCCAAAGGATGGGGCCTGGGTACGATCACTGAGAAGTGTTCCTGGAGGTGATTACTAGGATTGGGTTCAAAGAGCCATTCTGTACATGCTCAGAGATTCATCCTGGGTGCCTTGTGCTTCTTAGTCAATAAAGAATGCTTTGCAAGGAAAAAGGGCTGTTGCTTTTGAATGCGCAGAGGAGGAATCCCAGCTCATGAATTTGGCTTTGGCGGTCAGGCAGGCAGGCAGGCACCAAATGCTATGTTTGTTGTGTGTGTGTGTGTGTGTGTGTGTGTTTGTTATACACATATTCTGCCTGATACATCATTCTCCTTCTCAATCTTATCCTTACAATCCTGTGAGCTAGATTAGAGCGAGTGTCAGTGACTGGGCCAAATGCACCCAGTGAGCTTTTAGACGGAGTGGCTACTGAGAACTAGGTTCAGTTTAGTTCAGTTCATGTCGCCCACAACTTTTCCTGAGTTAATCCTGAGCCCTGAGGGCCAGCTAACAGTTAGGTCTTGCAACACGTAGACATGGACTTTGGTTTGAGGTGGAAGAACACCAAGAACCTTTTTCTGAATCTATTTCAATCAAAACCAAAATAGCATTGTGAAGTCCAAAGGGCATTGCAGAGGATCTCTGAGATTGGAACACATGGGAAAAAACAGTCTCCTTGGTATGTTGGGTTGAAGCCTGGAAGCGTTCAAATATAAGTTTAAGAACTAGATATATAATACAAAGTCCTCCAACCTGGTGCCCTCCAGATGTATCAGACTATTTCCATCATTCCCAAGAAGGACCCCCATGTTTGGGAATGGAAACTAGCACATCTGGAAAGCACCAGGCTGGGGAAACCTGGGATAATCTTTCTCTATTTGTCCTATTCCCTCTGGGGCAACCAAAGAAGAGAATCATGCTAAGGGAAACCTACTCACATGAATAAACCCTTAACCTGCAAAAGCCAAGAGTCAGCCCATTCGGCTTCAGGGGGTGTTTGCTTTGCTTCTTCTAAAGAATGCAGCCCCATGCAGCCACTGTCCTTCTAGTTTGGAAGAAAGATCTAACCACCACTATGCATGGAAGAGAAACTGGGCAGTTGAGAGGAAACGTCTTAAAAGAGAAGGGAAGTAAAAGAAAGCATCAGCGTACCTTGCTACTTTCTTGCTTGAGAGCCTCTTATTTGGACTGTGGAATGAACAACAGGAAAACTAAGTCAGGAAAACTGACACCAAAGAGCAAAAGTGAAACAGGAAACAAGCGACGACAGAATAACAGAGGCATATCCTTTACAATTCACAGAACAGCACAACACACAAAACACCCCACGCATGCATTGCACCCACCCATGTTGAAACCAGGCACAGGCAAGAAAGAGTTCACACATCTTAATGTCCAACCTAGCAATTGGCCATCTGTGGCGTATACAGAACTTCCACAGCTCCGTCAGGGCCTGGGCACCCTTCTCTCTCTGCCTCCATTCACCAGGCCAGTGCTGAAAACAGATCCCCTGGCTAAGAATAAAACCTGGGGTTGGTGGGACTTGGGCTTGGCTACCAGCTTGTGCTATATTTGAACTAGGAGCCAGCCTTGCGGAGAGAGCCTGTTTGAGCACAAGCTCGTAACTCAGCACAGGTGCCACAGAATAAAAGGCTACGAGAGGAAGGGCAGGGCATTTGCACACACCTCAGTCTGCCATGACGGGCCTCTCTGAGTTGGCATTCTCAGCAGGACCTCTGCTCAAGGGCAGGGGGCAACAGACAGGAGGTGGTGTAACAGTGGTGGGCGAGAGGAGACAAGGGAACCCCAGAACAGGTGTGCCTCATCTCAAAGAAAAGGGCTTCCAGGCCAAACAGGGCATCCCCTACAGATCCACAGAACCACACTACTGTGTTATTTTTAACACACAGTGCCTGCATCATATACACAACGCTTTGCAGCGACACACATGCTAAGCAGACTGGTTCTTCCTTGCCCCAGGTTTGCAGCAGAGGGGAGGGAGAGGCATGCGCAAGCAGGACAGCAACAGGCTCACCCTGTTCTGCCAATGCATAGACAGGGCATCAACAGGCAGGGCTGGCCACAGCTCCCCACGTGGCAGCAGAATGCATGGAGCATGAAGCCGCCCCAGGAGAAAAGAAGTGGGAGTGGGAGACACTGGGGAAAGGATGGCGCTGACAGGAAAATGTGTTGCTCCTAAATCCAGGTCCCTGTACAGGGGGAGCTTCCCACTTGTCTGTGCAAATATCTCATGAAAAGCACTTTGATAACACCATGCCAAGATCATGCTAATCACGTGCACCAGCCCTGAGTTGATCTGAACATTCTTCTTTCAGGCATGGGAAGGCCAAGCTCCCAACAGAACCGCATATTCCAGGCTTTCTCAGTGACACCACTGAGACCGGGAGGTCATAGACGGCTCATTTCCCAGCACAACCTACTTCTTACTCTGGGCTTTGTCCATGAAGATTTCTGTTTCTGTTCAAGGCAGGAACTGCCTCGGGCAAGAATGTCAGGAACAGAAAGGACGCCTCCCAACCCCTGATGAACAGAAACTGGATTTTGTCCTAGGTGACTGATTGTCATTTCTGTGTTGGGGGGCGGGGGAGATGTGCATCTGTGGTGTGGATGTGTGCATTTGTGTAAGAGGGGGACAGGTATAGTACTTGAAGACTAATTCATTTCAATCATGGCCAAGTAAAATGATCACTTTGCAATGGCAGCTTTTGCTTCAAGAAATGCAAATCATGGTTGCACATTTTAAACCCGATTTTTTTACCATTCCTTAATCCAGAAACAAGACGATCTGCAACTAAAGCCCTCCCGCAAAACAAACTGTCCGATTTTCGTGATAAGCATCATCATGAGATTTAGCATGCTTACTATCCATGATTTGCAGGATTGCGAACAACTACATTCAGTGTGCTACAGATGGTTGTCCAGTTTCCTCACAGCCTCCAAGGCAGACTTCTCCAAGCAGACTTCCAGATATTTCAGCTGGGAATTTTGGAACTTGTAACCCAATATATCTGAAAGGCACCATGCTGTGGAAGGGTGCACTAAAGCAAAGGAAGCCTTCCATTTGGTGGAGAGTGTGGTATTCTTTAACGTAAATCTGCTGAATTCAGACAATTGGATAAGCCACACTCAAGGGTTGAATATGAGTTGCAAATGAAATATACATTATAAGGATGTTCGAATATAGCTGTGCTGAGCAGGTTAACCCATGAAGAGAACCCCTGGTTTGTGAATTGTGGGCTGTTTACCATGGGAGATGCTCTTAGTTTAGGGGTGCTCCTTGAGTCATTTTTTGTCACTTGAGGGCCAGGTGGCCTCAGTGGCATGGAGTGCTTTTATCAGCTTCAGCTGGTGGCCCAGCTATGTCCCTTTCTGGACAGGCATAGCTTCATTTCAGTACTCCTCACTCCAGTAATCCCTCAACTATATTACTACCATACACTGTAATCTACTTAGAGGGTCCTCAGGCCAATAAAGCAGAATATAAGTTTAATGATAATAAATGCTCTAAATGAGGCTGTCCTTGAAAATGATTGAGAAGCTGCCGGTTGTGCAGAATGCAGCAGCCAGATACATAATACTAGTCCTGGCTCACTTACATTGGCTGCCTAAATGTTCCCAAACTCAAGGCATTACGTGTAACCTATAAAGTTCTACATGGCTTGGGACCGTAATATCTGATGGAGTACCTCCCCCAGCTGCAAATTATCCATACACTGCAACCAAGATCTGCCTCTGATTTCTACCTGTGAGGTAGGCTTGGTTGGTGGCAAGGAGAAGGGCCTTTTCACTGGCAGCCCCCCCCCCCCCCCGCACACAAATTTCGGAACAAGCTCTGCACTGAAGCCTGTCTCGCACCAAGTCGACTAACTCTTTAGCGCCAGGTTAAGACTGCCATCTACGACAAGGCATTTGATTAGTTTCAGTAATGCACTGGGGCTTTACGGAAGCTTCCTAAAAGGTCTTGTGAGTCAATCTGTGCAAACTACTGAAACTTTTTAAATTTGGTTTTTACCCTTTGTATTGTTATCTGTATTTCATACTGAACTTTATGTACCATTGCAAACCGCTCAGAAAACATTGGCTATTGCACAGCATAGAAATATAATTAATAACAACAACCACCCATGGTTCAACTATCATCCATGATTCAGTGACAAGTATAGGTTATCATGTTGCCTGAACCAGTCACCACATTTACAGTCCTTTCAGGACAACCCACCCCAGCAGCCTGAGGCACGGACTCGCTCTGTCTTCATGGTATGGCCTGCCCTGATACCAGAGCACATGCATGGCAGGCAAAGCGCCAGGTTCAGTGCATGCCTCAGCCACAGCGTAGGAAAGACCCGCGTAAAGCCTCGGGGAGCGAGGCCAGTCTGCGCAAGTGTTGTAATGAGATGCTCTGTAATCAGCACTCTGCCTCAGTGCAAGGCTGCAGTCCTACACAGCCACTCCTCCCAGGGACAAAATCACCGCTCCACCGAACACAGAAAAGCCTGCTTAAGAGCAGGTGTTCACAGGATTCAGTGTAAGGGGCTCCCTATGTTGGCAAGGTGGCCTTTGCCAGCCTGGTATCCTCCAGGTGTTTTTGGAGTATATCTCCCAGCAGTCCTCACTGCTAGTCATACTGGCTGGTGACAGTGGGGGTTGCAGTCCAATGCATCTGCAGGATACCAAACTGGGGAAGGCTGTGCTAAGGCTTCACTTCTCCGGCTTCCCTTATCTCCTTCTTCACACACATGTGCCTGCTATTCTCCACTCCTCCGATCTATTCTCAAGTCTCCACTGCGCCTTCCACTGCTTGCCTGTTGGTTCTGTTCTGCAAGCCAGCAAGACTCAGTTCCTGAACCATCAGAGTCCTCTCCATCTCTTTCACCAGCCAGCTGCTGCCTTCTTTTGACCCAGCCTAGCAGAGAAGCCAGAGTGGGACTCAGTGGGTGCCACTCGTGCTTCACACAACAGCTGCGCATGCAGAGAGAATTCACGGTACAGCAGAAAAACACGTACACACAAAAGGAAGGAGAACCCCTGACAGCATATTTGCTGTGGCCCCCAATACATTTGCGCAAACTTCGAGGCTTTGAAGAGTTTAAGGATGTTCTCACAAGCAACGTTAACTTACTACTGCCTTCAGCGTTTTTTAAAAAGAGGGTCAACAGAGATCCACAAGACATACTAGGAGCAGTCAATGAGCACGTCTTTTATAAAAGATGCACTCTTAGGAAAGTGATTTCATCTCCCATGCAAGAAAGTTGTGGATTTGATAGTGACAGAAAGGGGGAAAAGAACCGGCAAATACATGATGCACAAGTGCCATCCACTGACTCAAGCATTGCTTGTGAAAACCACCTGCCTCCCGTGGTAAATGTCCCACATCCCAATTGACACGAACAAGGACTGCTGAGGTTTGCTCAAGCCCATCTTAGTCAGTAAGGCAGAAATCAGATGCAAACCAGGGACTGCCTGATCTGCAGCTCAGCCTTAGCAAGCCACAGCAGGGGCCAGAGCCCTTCTGTCGTGCAAGGAACAGTGAACGTACAGGCTTGACAAAAGAAGAGTCTCCTTCCTTCCTAGGACAGATACAACATGCACTTAAAGAAGAGGGCCGTGCCTAAAATTGGTTACCTATTCATTTCAAGATCATTTAGGCGAGCAGAAAGGTCCTCGAGGCGGTTGATTTGCTTGTGGCACTGGGTACAGTAAAACTCAAACGCCTCGTCAGTGAAAATGCTGTGCAGTTTTGCAGCAAGTGGGTTTGCGCTAGAGAAATCACAAGTGTCATTCTTAAAAAACAGATGAAGAATAGTACAGGCCAAGTCTCAATTCTACCTGTAGGTTCCAGAAGTTTCAAAACAGAACATGCATCCTCCCAAATAGCCAGGTTTTGAGGCCATGTGGTAGTTGTTGTTTTTAAGAGATGGGCCAATTCAAGAAGTTTCAGAACCAACCTTCTATCTGGGATTTTTGAGGACACAATTCACTGCCTTTTCCCAGTACAGCCAGGATACGCAATTTATGGCCCCTCCAGAAGTTCTGACCTACAGCTCCCTTCAACCATAGTCTATGCAAATAGGATTTGCAGGCCAAAATATCTGAATAGTCAAGAGTTACCTAGCCCTAAAATATGAGTGGTAACAGATACCAGATGGGGATAATGGAAATTGTAGGCCAACATTTCTGGAGGACACCAAGTTGGGGAAGGCTGTCCTTAGTCTATGCTAGCTGTCTTTTTTGAGGAAACTCAAAAATTAGCTTATAGAATCGAAAGGGTAGTAAAAATCACTATTAAAGATGAAATGAATTCATTTAGCATTGCATCACCTCTTCTGAGCAGCCCAAGGGCCAAAATCTGTTTCCAAAAAGATGTTTGAGGGACGTACTCCAGGGAAGGTGGGATCAAAAATGCCAGCATATTTTTTCTTTAAAATACTTAATGTCAGTAACTGAACTTTGGGGACGGCTTTTCAGCACTGCAGAATTAGGATGGGGAAAGCAAGTACACACAAGCCAGGAAACTGCCACTGGATTGGTGGATGGTGACAGAGGTGGAATCAAGGAAAGAGGATGGGATAGCTGGGAACTCCAGAGGGCCAAATTTGGACCCAAGAGGATTGGATTTGGCTCCCATACCTTGATTTAGCCCACATTACGCAGCAGCTTTGTATACTCTGAATGAAATCTAGGATGCTAAAGGGGATAGCTGGACGTGCTTTTTGGGGGAGAGCACCCACAACTCTTTGAAACCATGCCTGCTAGCTGCCAAGGCATAACCTTGACCATGCTTCCTGCTGGTTCCTGAGCAGGGGATACATACAACCGTTTAGATACACAAAGGCCAGTCAAAGGCTGCCAGTCTCCTTTTGGGAAGGCATGCCCCATCTTGTCCTCAATGGGGTGCAGGAGGTTCAAAGCAGGTACAATGTCTGAGAAATAACAACCAGGGAGGAATCCTGGATCCTCCTTGCACAGCTACAGCGAAAACCATCTTCCCAGTGGATAAGGGACCCCACCCACAGCATGAACAGATGGGTACTGGACAGGAGACACAACTTAGGGTTCAAAGCAGACACCCAGCATGAAGAAGGTTTCTGCTGCAGTCCCTGGCATCTCCAGTTGAATGGGCAAGGTAGCAACTGATGACAAAGACCTCTGCGAGGTCCTTTTGCTGTCAAGAGCAAGTAACCTAGGTTCAGATGGACAAGCCATCTGTTCCTCTAAAAGGTAGCTTCCTACATACGGAAAACGGGTTTCACCTCTGGAAACCCACCTGCAGAAGCACCAAATGTGCTTCCACACAGTTGCTGGGAATGGCAGATGACACTTTCGGTAAGAATTGAGAGTGAGGATTTACTGTTTGAAAATTCATGCATCTTTGACACACTTCTGGAAGCCACGAGGTCTAATCAGAGAAAGAAGTTAATAGTGAAAACAGTGACAAAGAGGTTAAACACATACACAAGTGCACACACAGTGAGCAGGCAAGAACAAGGTTACATTCACAGATGCCTGTAAAGAAAGTCAATTGCATCACCACCGTTCATACTGCACTGCTGAGTCACTAGGTCCTGGGAGGGAAGGCCAGTGCTGAGCGTCCACTGGGATGAGAAGGGGGTAATTACAAGCCAGAGCCATACAGGGGCTTCCGGTCCAACAGGAGCTTAGCACGTCACCTGCTACAATAATTTTAGTACCAGGCTACTGATTTCTCTAAGTGCTCACTATCAGCTATGTCCAACCCCAGTGCCCTCCAGATGTGCTGAACAGCAATGCTCGTAACATTGGGCACTGTTGTCCAGCACGTCCGGAGTGCACCTGGTTCAAGAGGGCTGACCTTTTTCCATGTTTTCCATCTTAACAGTTTGCTTTCTGGTAAGGAAAAAGAAGAGAGAAATGGCAAGCAAAGTTACAAATGGAAGGTGAGCTCTATTGCCCATACAATGCTGTGCTTGTAGGATAAAAACCGTCTGAAAGCACCCTGGGCATTTCTCCAGCTCCCCCAAAAGTGAACGGAGAGGACATACCTTTCTTCGAGAACTGGAGTATTTTTAACATTGTGCTCTAGTAAAAGGTTCAACAGTTGTTTGTGCTCCACTAAGGAGGGTGCTGCGGTCAGGAGTGGGTGGGAGAGAGGAGGGGGAGAACTCTCACACAAAGGAAACGCTCTTTTCAACCACAAAAAGGGAGGTGCGTAACAGCGTGCATCACGGATGCCTTGGACATCACCACGAGCCCTGCGTATGCGTGCCAGATAGGAGCACAAGCGGATCTGAAGTCCTGTAAAAGCAGGGCTTCGTGTGACCCCAGCCCCACCACGCCAGCCGGGTGTGCAGGATTTGCCTACAGCATGACAGGCCGGGACGGGCAGGACAAGCTGCTCCAGCTCAGGGGGACTCAAGCTTAAGCAGCACTGCGCTCCACAGATCCTGGAGGAGTAGCGGCCTGCTCCAGTCGTGAGGCATTACCCTTTACAAGGTAACCCGAGTAAGCAAGAACACCCGTTACCAAAACTGACCTGGAAGCAAAAGTGCAGAACATTTGCAGACTTGGGGGCTGCATGTGACACTGGCTCAGGGACTGCATCTAAGTGCACCTGCCAAACACACTCCTTCCCAATGGTCCCAGCACAGATGGCCTTTTCTGCACTGATAACAGCAGAAGGGAACAAGTGATCTGAGCAGAGAATACGGGGAGCTGCCACCGCAACGGCAGGGTCAGGGCCCCACAGCAACACTGCCGTTTAAAAGACACAGGTTCCGCCAGGGCAAGAGTGGCTGCTGGGCATTTATTTCCGACCACCTGCACCTGAGGACACTTCATCTCCCAGCTTTTCTCCTATGACTTCCTTCGCATATACGAATGTATTTTAAAACACCCAGAAGCCTGAAAAGAGCACCTGTGCTCACTAGCACGCTGGCTGGGAATGACAGAGCGGTGGTCCAACACACCCAGGGTGGCCATAGCGCCACTTTTAAAGAGGACAGTTCTCTGTATAAAAAAAATATTTCAGTGGCTGTCCAGTCCAAGTCCAGTAAAAAGTTATACAGAACCACCAAAAAGAAGAGCTGGGCCTTGAAGAATGTTCAAGAAGAATAGCTTACCCAGTTTGCATCTGGACAGTGAGTGGACAGGTCAACCTCTTCTCTGCTATAGTGAGATCTCTTGTATCTCTATTTAAATTCTAATTATTTCCTCTACATTTGTACCTATGTACACTGACATGTGCAAAAACTATGCAAATCGCTGGGGTTTTTGTCTTTTGCGGGGGTGATCCATAAATGGCCACCCCAAACCCATCTGGAAAGAACAAAGCTGTGGAAATACTAGTCTAGATGCAAAATGGTCTAGATGTACTCCTGCAGAACAATCAACCCCTGGAAATACTTTTGGACTGGAAAGGTAGCACTTGGCAACCGGAAACTCCCCCTTCCCTGTTCACTCAGCAGGACTGGCTCACAAACAACCTGCTAATGGCCATTTAAGCAGCATATTGTCAGAGTCCCACCTTGGTATCCTTTCAGCAACACCCCCTCTGGCCAGCTGGCTCTTTGTGTGTGACCTTCTGCAGGGCCATATTGATGCCACCCCAAGGCGAAGGCACAAAGGCCATGGTTTGCATTGAAACTGTCACACCCTTTGCCAAAAATGTGCTTGGACCACCCTGGTGCACACAGTGAAACCAGCTGGCCACTTACCAGCTATTTAGGATGCATCAGCCTTGCCCAAACTGGTACCGTCCAGGTGTGACGAACAACTCCCACAATCCTCAGCCAACACAGTCAGTGACTGAGAAGTCCCACACAGCTGCAGGGCACGGGGTAGGCAAGGCTGATTTACCTGGGCACCTCCTACAGTATCAGGAGTGCTCAAGACCAAGGACGTGGAGTAAAAATAGGCACGATGGAACAAGCATGCCTCAAACAGGCTTTACGTTTCCGGTTGGCCGAATGCAAATCCACACATGCAAGAGTGGCCGGGAGAATTGCCAGGAACTATCCCCCCGCCCCGGCTTCAGCACAGCGGAGTGCCAAAAAGCCTTCTCAACACCTGCTAGAGCCTGAGTGAGGAGGCAGCCCAGGGCCAGGTCACCCCCGACAGCAAAACGGAAGTGGTGAGACAATGCGGGGGGGGGGGGGGGGGGAAGACCCGTGGAAGCAACTGTCCATCACTTCGCTCATTCTTCGTTGGCTAGGGCCACACTGCTGAAAGCAACAGATTGCACACTGCGGTCCAACTATGCACTGGCATCTCCCAGAATGGCTCGCTATCCACTGGACTCTCCACAGGGCTGGTCCCAGGAGGGCCTTCAGGCAGCCACTTCCGAGTGCTAAGAATCCAAAAGAGTCAGGCAGCAGTTCCATTATTCCCTGCTTAGCCTATTTTCTTTGGCTCGAAAAGGAGGACAGGAACAGCAGAGGGGAAATATGGGAGGTGCTGCAAACGGAAGGTGGTGGCAGCTGGACCCCCGCCCACAAAACTCCGTGGCTGAGTCAGGACAACTGCGTTTTAAAAGCCTCATTCGGAAGCACCTTCTGCCTAAGAGGTACCTCTTTGAACTCCACAGCTACAGGCCACCGGGAGAAAGATGCTGGGAAGACCATCTCATCCCATCAAGGTCTGCCTGCACGGAATTGTGTGCATGCAGCCCAGGGGAAGTGTTCGGCCTCACCCCATCCTCCCACCCCGTGCAACAGAGGTAGGCTACCAGTGCGCTTCTATGTGCCTCTAATCCAGGGCAGCCCCCATGGCTGGCTGGGGATGACAGGAGGTGGACTCCGAGGTACTTGGGAAGGGCCTGCCTCGAAGAGAGTTCTCCAATGGCTGCCCCTTTGGCACCTGCTCAGCAGCTGCCTTCCAGAGTTCCCTCTGCTGCAGGGCAGGGGAGAAGACGGGAGAGGCAGCCGGCCCACTGAGACAACAATGCAGCTGAGAAAAGCACAAGTCCAACCCCACACAGACAGATAGACGTACAATTCTTTTTTTACCTGGGAGAAAGGAAAGACGAACTGTTGAAGCCGCTCTCACCGTTGCACAAGCCGTCTGAGAAGAGGTCTATCTCATTCCCTTCCCCGTAGTCCTCGAAGTGCTCCTCTCCACTAATGACTGTGACGATGGAGTGACCGTTGACATCCGAGGTCAAGGACAGGTCATGAGGGTGAGGGCTGTGGGAGGAATGTGAGAACTAAGGTGACAGGAGGAAGGCCAAGAGGCAGGGCTGCACCCACCGCTCCCAACAGGCGACCACCACACACCGCCCTGAAGCGTGGCAGGGCAGGACTGGATGGGGACTGCCGCTGCATGTTGCGGTGTGGGAGCTCCACCACGTACGATGTAGGATCCAGAGCCACTTGGTACTCAAGCTACAAGATCCTGCAGGTGGGAGCTGCTCCACCGTTTTACAGGTGTCCGACAAAGAGAGCAATAGCTTCATGAGGTTCTTCATGAGGCTGCTCAAGAAACATCTCCGAAGTGGAAAGGACTAGACCTCTGTGGTAGGACACCTGCTCCACCCACCCTCCGACATCTCCAGTGAGAAGAGGTGAGATGAAACACCTCTGTCTGAGCCTTCTACACAGCCCGTGCCAACTGAGGGTTCACCAGGAGCAGTCAATTCCAGGCTGCCAAGATGCACTTTGTTTTATATCAGAACCACAGAGGGCCACCAACCAGAGTGGGCTGCAAAGTGAGACAGAACAAAGACACCTTGAAGAAAGTCCTGCCAGGTGTCTGCTCCAACACAAAACCAATGCAGCTGGGCAACAGCGGGATGTTCTGCTATCTTGTCAAGGGCACGCTTTTGCATTTTACTTTAGAGAAGTGTGTCCACTCAGGATGCAGCCGTACAACCCTGAACCTAGAGGAAGTAAATATTTTCGGTTGCACAGCCAGTCCATGACTTAAACCGCAGCTGCATTCAGAGCTCCTTAATCCTATTACAGGTCCAGAAACTGCCACTGACACGGGCTCCCAGCACTTCCACACAGACAGGCGTCCGTCTCTCCTGTGTCACAAAAGCAGGAGCATGGACATGGCCCCCAGCTAGAAAAGGCTGATCTGGGTGCTAGATCACTTATTTCGAGCATTAACATACTGCTCCATAGTTCACTATGGAGATTTCAGAGCAGTACCTAATAAAAGAAAAAAGAAAAAAAACAGAGACAAAAATAAAATAATATGCCAAAAACAGAATCCATAAAACTATGGCTAGTTAGCTGGGGAAGGCTTCTGTTTTTCGTGCTCAGCCCACAGATCCCCAGCCGAGGTCACCAGAGAATCTTGGCACATGTGAATTCTCAGTCTGGAAAACTAGAATAAAAAGCTCACCTGCCTTATAGGGGAATCGGAAGGGCAAAAAGAGTCAAGTTCTCAACAGCACTATGGCAGCTTCCCCCTTTTGACTACAACTGTGATTGCCGGCCATGCTGGCTGAGATGCTGGGTGCCTCGGTGGCACTTTGAGGAGGGAGACTATACCCCAGATTTGGAAGAGAGCTTCTTCCAGAAATTTCCAGATCAGATCAGAACTGGAAAACCTGCACCTCTCCAACATAATCTCCCAAACCTCAGAGCACAGAGCCTTCCCTATTTCAAAATAACAGGAAATCCAGTGATATCAGCAATTCTAGGGATACAAATGTATGCATTATCTTTGTGTTGACAGACAGAATAGACTTGCTATCCTGTCGGAAACAAAGACTGTGGCTGTTTTCCAGCATCCCCCAGCCCTTTAAGTGCTGATGAAAAAGCCCAGAGGAGCACAGAATGGTAAAGAGGAGGCAAACAGTGCTCCAAAGAACTGGAGAGATGAAAAGCCACCAGACGCTCCCCCCACGTATCATCAGTTGCGAGGGATCTGAAGCGCTCCATTTTGCAATGTGTGTCTGGAGCACGTGTGTTCCAGCCAAGCTACTTGTGTGGAGCGGCTCCATTTGCAGCTCATGGTGTACACGTTAAGGAGCTATCCCAAGATTCATGTTGCCTTCCCAAAATGGCACTCAGCTGGATTAGTGCTGTGAAATGACGCGATCAGACGTGATCTGAGCGCCCGAACAATTGCTGCCTTCAAGTCAAATGCTTCTTGGGGATGCACAATTGTCTGTGGAATTTCTGTATTACCATTTAGAGAGAGCTTTCTCTGAGCTTTTATTTTTGGTTCAGAAAAGCTCGACCTAGGTAAGTTGTTGCACCAGGTGTGTGAGCCAAAGTGGAGAGAGAGAGTTCCCAAGGACTCTTTTAGCAAGGACATCCCACCATAAAAAGAGCTTTGGCTGTTGGGTGGTATAGGAATTAATAATAACAATAACAATAACAGAATGGGGAGGCAGGGTGCAGAAAAGCCAGGCCTCCCCCGCCTGAAACCTCCAGGTTTGATGGACAACGCCAAGCATCCCCAAGCACGTTGGCTGTGAATGATGGGAGCTGCAGTTCAACACATCTGCAAGACTTCAGCTGGGTAAGGCTAACATAAGCAGAGATAATCAGGAGTGTCTGGATGTCAACAAGCGGAAGACCTGGCCATGAGCAAAAGCAAAAGGAGGAAGGAGGTGGTCAAGGCTGAGGGGTTGGAGAAGGAAATATTGGAAAGAAAATAGATCTCAAAATCGAGCAAGGCCCAAAGCTCTTTTGTCAGGAGGCCAATTCAAGTCAAAGTCAAAGCAAGGCCAGTTACAACGGAAGCCCCATGTCTCTTCCCAAGTGCAATCCATTTGTTGGAGAGAAAAGGGTGAACTTTGGGTGGGCTTTGTTTACCCTGGCAGACAGGGGTCTCCTACGGGGGTCCCTGTTGCTCCTCAAACTCTGGCACAGAAGCTTATGTGGAAAGGGGTTCTTGAAAAACAGGAGGTGGTTATTCTATCCTGGCTTGGCCAGTTCTGGGCAAACGCCTTCCCAACTCCCACTTCCTCCCTGTGGATGGTGTTTTCTGGGCTCGGAGCCCAGCTCAGGGGAACTTACTCCTCTTAAGCTGCCCTACAGCTATTTAAAAGGCACCCTAAAATAAATTAATATGCAATATAAACTAATCAAAGATACTAGCTGAGGAGGATCAGCAGCAAGAGGAAGGAAACCCCAAGTTTCCTTTTCACGTCTGTTCACAGTCTCCCTGCTACAGCCAGGACTTATGCTGGACACCATCTCATTTATGCACAGAGGCCAACAAAATGCACGACCGCCAGGGCGCCTCAGCGCACACAGATCACAGATCGGGGGGCTTGCTGGGTTCTGCTTTTTCCAAAAACCTTGCAAGCTCCTTAGTGACCTCTCTAAACCCAGGCTGCCACTTGGGGTTTTCCTTTTTTCTTTTAAGGAGAGAAGGGCTCCGTTCTTCCAAACAGAAAGCAATGTAGGGGAGTCCCACCTGCCAGCCAATGACCAAGAAAACAGCACAGCTCCCCTTTTAGATTTTCACATTTTTATCAAACAGCATCTCAACTTTAGTTGGGGGAGCTCAGGGAAGCAGGCACAGGACCACATCACTCTGTCCTTATGCATCCGAAGGATGGCAACACGTGAGTTGGTTACAGCTGAGCAGGGAAATGGAACCAGGGTCTCCCAGATCTGTGGTCTGCTCTCATTTCCCACAGCTGCAGAAGTCCAGGGGAGCCCTTCTCCCAAAGAACAGCAGCAGCAGAAGTGAACAGGTATGATGTACCTATCACTGCACTTCCGCTTGGGGAAAGCTTTGCCTGTTGATTTCTGCCCACTGCTCAGATATTGGAGGCACAAGAATTCTAGGTTTGCTGCTGTTGTTGTATATATTGTTATCATTTTCTTCTTTTTGAAGGTAGCCTATATAAACCGCCAAATAAAAAGTGCTTTAGGCAGCCTTATAAATAAGCCCACAAAAAGTTACTATCCTACAAGAATATTAACAAGTTGTTGGGAAGCGGCAGAGGAGGAGCAGAAAACTGCAGGGTGCTGCCTTGCTCCTCCACTGCCCACCTTGCTCACCTGCACTGAATTCCTGGCCACCCTTTGGCAATCAGCTGAGTCCTTAAATACAAGGAGCTGCCTCTGCCAAAAAGTATTCCCAGATCTTTCTAACTTTGATGACCAGAAGCACCATTTTGATGTTTCTGTTGCCCACAAACAAGATCTGGCTTCTTGCAGAAAGTGAAGGGTGCCCTCAGGAAGCAAGCAAAGGAAATACACTGAACATGCCCTGGTTGAACAAAGCAATTCCAGAGCAGCAGGATGGGATGCTGTCCTCTCTAGAACACAGGCTGCAGCACAGGGGTGATGAGCAGAGGTCCAAATCCAATTCTGGAGAAGTTCTAAGGAGCTGCATTCTCAGGAAGGATCAGACCAAAGGCAAAGTGGGCTGAGCCAAAATACCCAAGCCACCAGCACATGGGAGCACAAAGCTGCTACTGCCAAGCGAAGCACCTCAGCCTTTGAGAATGGGTAAAAAGAAATTGCATAAAAGCCGGGAAAGCACCAAAAGAGAGGCAGTCAGAGCCAAAGGGAGGATGGCTGGCGTCTGAAGCAGCCCAGTGGACTACACTGGGCACCCGGGCAGGAAGGACCGCATACACCGGCCTGAAGTTCCGCACCCCTGTGGTGTCTCTTCTTCTTTCCCCCTTCACTCCCACAGACACATTCTTGATGGTTAAGACTTACAGAAATGCCCTGTTCCTATTCCCTTGCTGGCTGTTCGCAAGGACTGGAGGTGCGGGAGCACCAAAAGACGACTCAGTTGCTCCCTTCATCCTAATCTCAGCTTTCACGCTCAAACCCAGCAGCCCCCCACCCCACCCTCAAGGAATGGCATTTGTACCTACAGGCAGGAGAGTCCGAGACATTGCGCCATGCTCCCAGAAGGCCGGGCAGAACGGACACAGGCTGGCATACTGGCTAATTCTCTCTGGGAAAGGGGCCTCTAATGGCCTTGCAGCTCAGAAGCTGATTACAGACTGCAGGTTACCAACTGCCAAGCCTGGCTCTTCGCAGCAAGGAAGGGGTGGCGGCAGGCTAATCCCATTCTGCAACCCCTGGCATGTCTTAATCTGCAGGGCCTCCAGAGAGAGACACTCTTTCAGTCCCGCTTTGCATCAGAGCCTTCTCCAGCTCCTTGAGTGGTGGAGGGAGCCCCCCCCCCAAAAAAAAGAAAGAAGCCCTTTCAGAGGTTAAGGGTTGGAAACAAAAGGCTGAGGTGTGGGAAAGAAGGGAAGCTTTGCCTAATCTGAACAAGCTCAAAGGCCTGGCTCGCCTTGCAGATTGATCAGGTTCAAACACAGTGTTTGCACCCAAAGTGGAGGATCGGGACGGCATCTCTATTTCCGCAAACATGGCCTCCTGTGCCTCTTATTGGAATCCAGCATATCTGGAGGGCACCATGTTGGAAGAAGGTACGGATGATTGTACAATATGAATTCGTGACAAGGAAGTGTCCATTCTGCCCACAAGAAGCTGTAGCTGAGTCTCAAGTCACTCTTAGTAACAGGAGGGAGCCATCATGGGCCACAGCAGAACCATCAGAGGGGCTGCAACACGATGGCTGCATAAAGATCCTGCACGTAGGGAAGCGCAGGTTCAGTCCCTGACCAAGTATCAAGACTGGGCAACTGCATGGTGGTTGGGCTTCACCAACCATTCCTCCTGTTCATTTCCCCGGAAAATTTTCGATCTGAGTTAGATCTAGGCCCTTGCATTGTTTAAATTTGTTTTTATATTTTGAACAGATTGGTTTAAAAGCCACAGGCATGGCTGTACACTCAACGCTCCAGAACAGAAAAAGAGAGCACAGGCTAGATTGCTGCCCCACAGCCCTCCTGTGGAAATTAGTGCATGCTACTGCAGTCTCCTTTATGGATCACTGCCTTGTCGTGGCGAAGGGGCTTGCGTAGCTCAATGAAGCTATGAGCCATGCAGTGCAGGGCCACCCAAGACGGACAGGTCATAGCAGAGAGCACGGACAAAACGTGATGCACTGGAGAAGGAAATGGCAACCCACTCCAGTATCTTTGCCATGAAAACCCCATGGACAGTACCAAAAGGCAAAAAGATATGACGCCGGAAGATGAGCCCCTCAGGTCGGAAGGTGTCCAATATGCTACAGGGGAAGAGCAGAGAGCTTGTACTAGTAGCGCCAGAAAGAATGAAGCAACTGGGTCAAAGCCGAAAGGACACTCAGTTGCAGATGTATCTGGTGGTGAAAGGAGAGTCTGATGCTGCAAAGATCTATACTCCATAGGAACCTGGAATGTAAGATCCATGAATCAAGGCAAGCTGGATGTGGTCAAACAAGAGATGACAAGACTGAACATCGACATCTTGGGAATCAGTGAACTAAAATGGACAGGAATGGGTGAATTTAACTCAGATGACCATCAGGTATACTACTGTGGGCAAGAATCCCTCAGAAGAAGTGGAGTAGCCTTCATAGACAATAAAAGAGTAGGAAAAGCAGTACTGGGATACAACCTCCAAAATGACAGAATGATCTCAGTTCGAATCCAAGGCAAACCATTCAATATCACAGTAGTCCAAGTCTATTCCCCAACCACTGGTGCTGAAGAGGCTGAAGTTGACTGGTTCTATGAAGGCCTACAACACCTTCTAGAATTAACACCAAAAAATGATGTCTTATCATCATGGGGGATTGGAATGCTAAAGCAGGAAGCCAAAAGATAACTGGAATAACAGGCAAGTTTGGCCTTGGAGTACAAAATGAAGCGGGGCACAGGCTGGTAGAATTTTGTCAAAAGAATACGATGGTCATAGAAAACACTCTTTTCCAACAACCCAAGAGACGACTCTACACATGGACATCACCAGACGGTCAACACAGAAATCAGACTGACTATGTGCTCTGCAGCCAAAGAATTAGATCTGATAGACAGAGTGCCTGAAGAACTATGGACGGAGGTTCGCAACATTGTATAAGAGGTAGCAACTAAAGCCATCCCAAAGAAAAAGAAATGCAAGAAAGCAAAATGGCTGTCTGAGGAAGCTTTACAAATAGCTGAGGAAAGAAGGGAAGCGAAAGGCAAGGGAGAAAGAGCAAGATACACCCAATTGAATGCAGAATTCCAGAGAATAGCTAGAAGAGATAAGAATGCCTTCTTAAATGAACAGTGCAAAGAAATAGAAGAAAACAATAGAATAGGGAGGACCAGATATCTCTTCAAGAAAATTGGAGATATGAAGGGAACGTTTCATGCAAAGATGGGCAAAATGAGGACCAAAATGAAAGGGACCTAACAGAGGCAGAAGAGATTAAGAAGAGGTGGCAAGATTACACAGAAGAACTATACAAGAAAGAGCTTAACATCCCTGATAACCACGATGGTGTGGTCACTGACCTCGAGCCAGACATCCTGGAATGTGAAGTCAAATGGGCCTTAGGAAGTTTGAGCAACAACAAAGCTAGTGGAGGCGACAGTATTCCAGCTGAGCTATTCAAAATCTTAAAAGACGGTGCAGTAAAAGTGCTACACTCAATATGCTAGCAAATTTGGAAAACTCAACAGTGGCTGCAGGATTGGAAAAGGTCAGTTTGCATTCCGATCCCAAAGAAGGGCAATGCCAAAGAATGTTCAAACTACCACATCATTGCACTCATTTCACATGCTAGCAAAGTTATGCTCAAAATCCTACAAGCTAGGCTGCAGCAGTATGTGGACCAAGAACTACCAGAAGTACAGGCAGGATTTCGAAGAGGGAGAGGAACTAGAGATCAAATTGCCAACATACGCTGGATCATGGAGAAAGCTAGGGAGTTCCAGAAAAACATCTACTCTTGCTTCATTGACTATGCTAAAGCCTTTGACTGTGTGGATCACAACAAATTGTGGCAAGTTCTTAAAGAGATGGGAGTACCAGACCATCTTATTTGTCTCTTGAGAAACCTATATGTGGGTCAAGAAGCAACAGTGAGAACTGGACACAGAACCACTGATTGGTTCAAAATTGAGAAAAGAGTTCGGCAAGGCTGTATACTGTCGCTCTGCCTATTTAACTTATATGCAGAGCACATCATGAGAAAGGCGGGGCTGAATGAATCACCAGTTGGAATTAAGATTGCTGGGAGAAATCTCAACAACCTCAGATATGCAGATGATATCACTCTAATGGCAGAAAGTGAAGAGGAATTAAAGAGCCTCCTGATGCGGGTGAAGGAGGAGAGTGCAAAAGTTGGCTTGAAACTCAACATTAAGAAAACTAAGATCATGGCATCTGGTCCTCTCACTTCCTGGCAAATAGATGGGGAAGAAATGGAGGTAGTGACGGATTTTATTTTCCCGGGCTCCAAGATCACCGCAGATGCTGACTGCAGCCAAGAAATTAAAAGACGCTTGCTCCTGGGGAGGAAAGCTATGGCAAATCTAGACAGCATACTAAAAAGCAGAGACATCACTCTGCCAACAAAAATGTGTATAGTCAAGGCTATGGTTTTCCCAGTTGCAATGTAAGGCCGTGAAATTTGGACCATAAGGAAGGCTGAACACCAAAGAATTCAGGCCTTTGAATTGTGGTGCTGGAGGAGACTCCTGCGAGTCCCTTGGACTGCAAGGCGATCAAACCGGTCATTCCTAGAGGAGATCAACCCTGACTGCTCTCTAGAAGGCCAGATAGTGAAGATGAAGCTCAAATACTTTGGCCACCTAATGAGAAGGAAGGACTCACTGGAGAAGAGCCTAATGCTGGGAACAATAGATGGCAAAAGAAGGAGGCAGAAGAGGATGAGGTGGCTGGATGGAGTCACTGGGGCAGTGGGTGTGGGCTTGGGTGGACTCCAGGGGATGGTGGAGGACAGGAAGGCCTGGAGGAATGTTGTCCATGGGGCCGCGATGGGTCTGACATGACTTCGCCACTAACAACAACAACAATGCAGGAGTGCTTTTACAGAAGGAATTGCCACTGCAAGCAAGAAAGCCCAGAGGTATTTAAGAAAACAAGATATGCAGAATGCAGCTCATAGCAAACAAGCCAAATTTTGGGGGCTGGGAGAGACAGTTGCCAACTGCTCCAACATCCATCCAAGCCTTTCCTGGGAATAAATGGAGTCTTCTAGGCTTAAGAGCATGTCATTGGTGGTGGAAACCACACTGGGTGCCCTTTCCAAACTTAGTTCATTTGCCAGAGAAAGGAAGCTTAACTGACTGCAACTTTAAGGCAGGACAAACTCTGAGCAAAAATGAGAGGAAAGAAAAAGGACTGTATGGAACTATGGCTTATGGAACTCATTGCCAGAAACCTATCGATGGCTAATACTTGGATGCATGCCACCTCCAGTATCACATGAGCAAACCATGCTTCTGCATACCAGTTCCTCAAAAACACAAGTGGGAGGGAGCTACTGTATTTGCATCCTGCTCGTAGTTTTCCCCAGAGGCATCTGGTTGCCCATGGCGGGAAACAGGCTCCTGGAACAGATTAGCCTCTGGCCTGATCCAGCAGGGCCTTTAAATTGTTCTGGGAGAAGAAATGGCAATTGTCCCTTCCCTGGGTATTTCACCAGGCTGGCTTGCCAAGAAGATTTAGAGGCCAACCTTCAAGCCCCTTCATCTTTCCCTGTTCACACCCATCTGCAGAGGTAGAACAACCTACCCATTCTCTGCCTCCTCGATGGTATCCGTGAACTCCGAGTGCACCGTGGAGTCAATCGCACTGTCTGTTTCTACTTCATCATGCATCTCGTGGTGGACCAGCGTGCTGGTGTCCTCATCTGTGAAAGTTTCGCATTCACTATAGGTGCTCTCCGAGCCCATGTACGCGCTGTCAGTCACCTCATTTGCCTGTTGTAAACAAAAGCACACAAAGCCGTTTAAAGACAACAGTACGGCCTGAAGTCGCTGGCATTTTTTCCCTTGAGGTTGCAAAGGTTTTCTACACAGGGCTATTAACACACTGTAAGCCCACTTTCATTTGTGTTGCAGAATTAAGATCCAAGCGCTAAATGAAGATCATTTCCACTGCTGCTTTTCCACACAGAAGCTCTAGATACAGAGGTTATAGCATAGCAAATACGCCTGCTTATGAACATGCAAGTTAAGAACCACCCCTACATACAAACAAACAAACCCACAAGTCCTGTCTCTTCCTTAGGTGGCAAGTGCCAGGTAGTGAGAAGAAGAAGGAAGGAAGGAAGGGGAAGGAGGAAAAGAGGAGGAGGAAGGAAAAAGTGGTGAGTGGCCAAGTCAAAAATAGAAAGCAACTCCAGTGGGACCCCCCACCAAGCAGCACAATCAAGCCCTGACTCTCCAGCACTATGGCCATCCTATCTAAACCATTCCCATCCCCATCATCATCCAGTCAATGTTAGGCTTCATGTTAGCTCAAGAAGTGTTAACTTTTAATAATCTTTTTACTATTTTTCTATCTAAACTGTTTTATACAGTTTCTCTCTCTTCTGTGCCTGTAGTTAGTTTATAATTACTGAATTATTATCATTATTAAAATACTGCTTTCTGTTTAAGATGTTTCAGTTTATATGGAAATGTTTCTTAAGTGTTTGATACATTTTTTCTATACATGATGTAACTTGCATACAAATTCAACCTAAAGATGATCTCAGAACAGAACTTGTTCTTAACCTGGAAACTGGGTATACTATACTCTAGATATACTATACAGAATCATAGAATATAGAATAATAGAGTTGGAAGGGGCCAAAAAGGCCATCAGGTTCAATCCCCCGCTGTTGCAGGACACCAATTTACTCCATCCCACTCATGTATTATCTATAGTGCAGTGCAGTGCAGTGCAGTGATGTGTGTGTGTGTGTAGAGATAGAGTGTGCTCATATTGTATTGTGTGGCATAGCAGAACAGTGCAAATACACAAAAGGAAACTCTACTCTCTTTCTATTTCACAATTAAACACTGTAGTTTAACTGTTCTTAAAAAATAAACCATGCCAAAAATGCTGGTTAGACACAGAGGCAAAATTGGGGGTTCATCATCTAACATCCATGAATAGGGAAAGAATGATAACAGCACGATAAATACCTTGTGCAGAAAGCCTTGAATGGCAAGTTATTCCAAATTATGGTCAGGCTTTTATTCCAAGAAGATGTGGCCTGTTTGGCCTTAAGCCAAGAAGAGAAGCTAATCACAGGATAGGCAAGCAGGGTAGAAAGATGTCACCCCATAGGGAATTCCTCGTTCCACCACACACACACACACACACACACACACACACACACACACAAACTACAGAAAGGTGATGCTGCCCACTTCCAATCAGCACACATACTTGCCATACGAAAATCTGCACCAGGTCCATACATGCTTGCAGACAAGGCTTCTTACGACAAAGCCACTGTGCTGCTCCATTAATGGAATTTTGATTGGGGGGTTCCGTACTGGTCCCCCCAGTGTCCCCCAGTTTTTTCCACTGTTTCATCCATCTTTTTCGTTTTTACAGAAAATATGTTCAAGAAGCAAAGTCAAAAGAACCTCAAGGTACCCTCCATCTGGAAGTCCCCAAAGTTGCATCATGATTGCACTTCAGCCCTCGCCCCACAAGTGTCACTTAATTTATATGCCAACAGCTGAGACTCACTGTGTTATAAAATTACTCCAAATAGCAAAACTAACAAAATAGGCACCATTTGAGTTTCCTGTGATGTCAAGACTTAGAGTGGAAGTTGGCAACATTTTGGGGCCCACAGGCACATCCAGCCATTTCAGATTCTGTCCTGGCCCCCACCACAGAATGGGCGCAGTGCAGGTGAAGGCACTGGTCTGCAGCTACCTGCAGTCCCCATTTCCTAAGAATGTCTTTGATCCCCACATAGGGTCCAGGGGCCTACATGGGAAAAGGCAGCAGCAGCTACAGGGTCCCCCTTTGCTTGCAAGCAATGCTGGCTGCTGGTAAGAATTGTTGTTAGGTAGGAAGAATAGGGCCTCTTCATGGGTTCCAAGAAAGGCCCCTACTGAACTCCCCTGTTTGGGATTCGATTGGTCAAGTCAGACTGAAGTATAAGACAAAAACTGCAGAGCCATTTTGCTCCTAACTATGCACCAATTTTACTTCTCATTGGTAACAACCAATTTGCTCCTACAAAGCATTTGCTACAAGCGAGCACTGAACCCACATGGGAAGCCCTACAATCATACCAGGACAAATGCCAGGGCTTTCTTCTGCTCCTCTCCCTCAGAAGTTGCTCAGACCGTTTCGAAGAGAACACTTTCACACCCCCTTGTTCCCAACACACGTGAGTGCAAGCTCTGGGAGGAAGCTACTCATGCCAATCTTCCACAGGAGAAATTATAAAAGCCAACAAAGAGCTCCTGGGGGACGTCATGACCACAGATTTTGACACCTGGGAAAGCCAAACACCACACGTTCACAGGCACACCCTTATCAAGGTCAGAAGAGCCCATGTCAAAAACACCCAAATGCTTAACTTCTTTAAAGAAGGGTCAGTGAGAATATGCAAGCCTGTGCTTAGCAACACCATTTATCAAGGCTACTGGCTAAAATGCCCCTATCCAAAAATCCAACAGGCAACTGGATACAAGATGATCCCCCTAGATTTGTATTTCTTACACAGATTCTTGGCATCTGATTCTGAAGCCCTGAAGGCTGGGTGTGCAAACAGATCAGAATCCTATCAGCATTCAAGTGCCTTTAAAATTCCCAGCTCTTCCGCCAGCTTAATCGTAACCCCTGAAAGCCAGTTCAAAACAGATCATTCTTGCCACTATTCCTGAAAAACATTCTGCACAAGGCTGTGTATTGCCGTGTCTACTGCTGGTTTTGTTGCAGAATTGCCATCTGAGCGCCAGTGTTCCCTTTCTGCTTTGCTGCAACATAACCTCTGGGTGGAGCTGTGCTATACCAGAATACTATTATACCAGTATTACAATTAAATAAAATACTTTTACCTTTGGAATAACCCATTTTCTCTACTAAGGGGGAGGGGGAGAATATTTCTATTTATATCTATTTAATATTATATCTATATCTATCATGTTTATATCTATTTTTCTAAGGGGGAGGGGGGAGAATATGCTCTTAAAAAGGCAGAAGTAAATGTGCCAATCACAACAGTTGCTGAACCTGTGAATAAGGAATCATGTATAATTTGTATAGAATACTTCTAAGTCCTGGGATTCTGGTGAATTTCAAGGAAGGAAAGAAATTCACAACCAAAGAACAGCCACCCTGATTGCCTCTTGATGTATCATCCTTTATCCTATATATTGACTGCAAATTAATTCTACAAATACAGATCTTTATGAAGCAAAAACAGCACCATTCATGCACAAGAGGAAAGAGTTGCTCCTAGAGTCTGAAGTACAAAAAACTTAGAAAATACCCCAAAGAGGAGAAAGGAATGTAAAATGCCAGATGCTGGCAGGGTGGGATGGAATGATGCATCCCGGATGAGGGTAGGACTGGCTGACACCCCGAACAGGAACACGCGCTGCAGGTGCCACTTCTGTCCCTCAGTGAATCGATGGTTCCTCTCAAAGACTGCAAGGATGTATGGGAAGGATACATTTCTAAGTTAGCACCTTGCCTAGGTGGTTTGGGGCTAATGTGAAAAAGAGCACCTGTGTTTTTAAGCAACACCTGTAGCTAAAGTGAAAACCAACACCAACTGTGCCCAGGAGGCCCGACTAGAATATCGGTGTAATCTGCTCCAGCTCCACTGCATTCTCTTAAAGAAGCACCACACTTGCGCATCACAGTCTTCAAGGACAGCCCTGCAGAAGCACATGTGTGGACAATGCCCGCTGGAGCCAGAGGGAGTGCCGAGTAAGGGTTTCTAGCCTTCGAGGGGTGGGGCCTTCAGTGCCCTGCACATCTCTGGCCCCTCATCATCACTAGCAGATCCAAAGTAAAACAGTGCTGAATGAAAGAAGCAGGAGGAAAATTTGCAAAGCATCTACAGGTTTGTACAGTGCAGACTTGGCAAATAATTTAAGCTGCTTGGATGCAGGATTTAAGCTTATTTTGATAATAGCAATGTCTCCACTTTCTTAGGCAGATGAGAGAGAATGAAAGGGCTGGGGGAAAGAAGCCATGTACACAGTCTAGTGCATGCACAGAGGCAGGGTGGAGGTGGGCATCAGAGCTGACCCATGGCTTTCCGAGTTTTCCCCACCAAAGTCCATTTCTTCCCCCTGCATGTACCATGCAGGTACCTTGACCCAGAGCCTTCCCCGGGACTTTCTTGCTTGTTTTATGGCCTTGATTAAATATTAAATCCCAAGCCAAGATGCCAGGAAGACGGGATCACATTCCTAGCCTAAATATCCCTTTACAAAAGCAAACTCACTGCAAACTGCTGCAGAGAAGCAGCAAGAAAACACACCTCACCCCACCTTTGCCCTGGGGCTCCATTTATGGCCTCAGGAAAGCCAGCTGGTTTCCCAGGCAGCTGTTTAAAGCCCTTCGCAAATTCCTTTCGCTAAGGAAGTTTGTCTTTGCATTACCAACAAGCCTGACCTCAGCACTTTTTCTCCTCCACAGATAAACCCTTTATACAAGCAGGCTGTGGGTGACATTGAACAAATGCCCAGCTAGAGGGTGGAGGGAACAAGGGGGTACTTTCTGGAGGGCTGGCCAAATTAGGGACTGAATGTAAGAAAAGCTGCTCTCCATAAACAAAACAAGGCATGCCAGGCACAGATCAACAATACATGCATTTATAAGTCAATTTCTCTTTTTCATATGTTGCTTGACAAGTTACAGGCAACTGTAAAAAAAACAAAAAACAAAAACAGCAACTCTTATAGTTACACACAAACACACCCTGGGGGCCCCTGGAAGCAACTCCAAT